ATCTAATTTGTAAAAAAACAAAAATCTAAAAATTCACAAAAATTCAAATAATCAATTTAAAAATCATATATCATCAAAATAATTAAAACCAAATAATTTTGATGAGAATAAGATCCGTATAGATCTAAAAATTATAATATCACCGAAGCACTTCATCTTCTACTATGGATTATAATTCACATTTGCTTTCTCAAACTGATCGACAGTTCCCACGACCCATAAATCACTGCAAGTGCTCATGATTGGCCTACCAAATTCATCTGATAGGCGATGGAATACAATTCCAATCTATAGACTACAGGTTCTCCCCTAAAGACGAAACCAAAATCATCTAGATCAGATACAACTACAACTCTATGGTGCATATGAGTAATATCTCCCACATATACACGCTTCACCCTCAATGATAGTTCGCTTTCTCAATACATCTATTATATGTACATATCGTGTGTGATGGTTCAGTGATGAAGCTTTGACCCTCATCTCTAAAAGCCAACCATCACACACAAATGCCATATAGTCCCTCAGCTCACACACCTGAACAACTCCGACTTTATCAAGAGATGATCCATAAAACCCTCATCAGTTTAATTTCATGCCCAGGTCATACAGGTTTTCCAACTTGACTGGTCTAGCATGTCAATCCAAATTTGAGTATCCACAAATAGCATTTGTCTATCATAATCTACAAAAGACCACACTTTCATTGAGTTTATGTTCAACCATATCAAGATATAAATTACAAACGCTCATAAAACCTTTAATGGCCACAAAAACCCAACAAAAGAAAAAAAAAAAAGATTTGTTAAGGGCATTTTTGCTTCACGGAAAACAACTATCTAGAAAGTTCTTTTCTGCTGGGCTGCTAGCTTTCCCACATATTTCATGGAAAAGTGTTCAAGATGTTCTGGTCGAGAAAGTTCATTCCCAGCCTTTTCCCACATGCTATGTAATTCCTCTTACTTGTGTGCTTTTTTCTTCGTCGTGGAGAGAAAATATCCCTAGGAAAACAATTCCTAGTCCTGATACCATCACTCTTCTTTGCATACAGAAAAGAAGACATCCCTTGGGTTTTCAAATTGTTGGAGAGAGAAAGCACACATGGATCGTTACGCTTTTCACATATTAAGGGAAAGTGCGAGAGAGTGCGTCGTTACTCTTCACATAGTAAAAGGGATCCAAGGCTCCAAAACTCCATTGAAATATGTCCCATATATGACATGTAATTTACCTTGACCCTTCTTTCTGAATTTGCTACTTTGGATATTACAAGTTATGAAGTGGTAATTCCGATGACTTGAGATCTTGAAGACTTAAAGCAAACTTTTCCTTTAAAAAGTTTATATAAAGCATCATCTTTAGTTTATAGAGAAATAAGCCATTCCTTAAAAACCCATAAAAAAAGTTCTTCCAACATTAGAAAGCCCTCAACCTCAATATATATAGGTGTTAAAAAATAAAGATTTTAAGTCTTAAAAATAATTCATCTTATAATGCATTATGTACACCATCCATTTTCTAGATTTTCAAATACTTATGCAGCTTTTTTTAACCTTTATATTTTTTAATTAATAGTAAAATTATCAAACCATGGTAAGGGTTTCTGGCACAGAAAATGCATCTTCTGACACAATTTAAATGTCCACCTTACTTTAACTTTTAAAGTTGATGCCTCGCAAACCACAACCTTTTTTAAATTATGACTTTCGAGCTTTAAAAAAATAAGTACCAATATATGTAAAGCTTCAACCCGCACAAATAGTAAAATATTTAAACGTGGCAGGGTTTGTAGCAAAATGTGGAGTGTCCGATTCTTTTGAAGTGTTGGCCTCCAAGACTCATAAAGTCTTAGCTTCGGATCTTCAAGGTCCAGAGTTAAGAGAATACTTTGAATATTCAAAGTTGTAACTGAAAAAAAAAAAAAAACTTCGGCTTCTCGAGATTCAAAGTTAACATATAAGTTTCAATTTAGCTCTTGGAGGTTCGAAGTTGGGGTATTCTGAAAAAAAAATTTAAAAATTAAAAACCTACAACATCTAGAGGAAATTTTTTTTTTTTTAAGAAAAAGACTTAAGGCAACATGAACTTAAATTTCCCAATTTTCTGTTTCCCCAGCCGCATTTAGAAATGACTAAAAGGGACATTTACCAGAATGCACATAAAAGATCAACTTTCTAACATTTAGCCCATAAATTTAATTTCAAAATACCCATCAAAATACTCAGGACAATGAGTTGGTTGAAAAGGGGTAAATTGTTAAATTGTTGAACAGTCAAAATGTATTTTGATAAATTTCCTGGACCAAAATTGTAAGTGTCACGTTTCTTAGGGTGATCAATTTTAAATCCCCATGAGCATAGGCATTTGCCTCTTCACATGATAAAAATGGAAAATGCAGCGTAGAGAGCAGAATCGTCCATTATGCTCCCCAATGTTCAATCTGCTCACAAATAGAAAAATATACATAAAGAATCATGAATAAAAACCTATTCACATGGGAACAATCACAAACTGAGTTCCCTATAACAAACAAAAAAGGCACAAAAAATAAAAGAATAAGAAACAGTGACTAGCTAGGTAAAAGACGTCAAGGAATACCTTCTTTACGATGTTCAGTTAGAACCCAAAATTTGTTTGATGAGCGAGTACCAGTGCATTACTGTAATGCTCCGTGAAATTCTTCATACTCATAAGAGCAGGAATATCCAGAGAAAGGATCTCTCTCTTTGATACGGATCACGATTTTATGCAGTCTCAAAAGAAATGTCTCAGTGTTTGATGCGCTTGGTGCCCCTT